GGGCATACCTTGATCATGTTACTCTTCCACTTATGACCCTTCAAGCAAGCGACCGTCGCAAGCATATCTTCGATATCGCCATGACGCCAGTTCTTGCCTTCGATTTTCGATATCGACGCGATGTTTCCAGCACCGAAAGCGTCTGCGCCGGCTGGAAGTAGGACGAGGATCGCGATAGCAATAAGCAGCACGTACTGCGAGGAGACTCCCATGATGGCGGGGTGTAGAGGGGAATGAAGAAATGGAAGATGATTTAGCTCAGCGCAGTAAGAGTCTGCGATAACTGTTCGCTGGAGTCAGCTGCACTTACGTAGTGAAAGTGTGGCCCATGATGGCGCAGCAAATGACGCCACAATGCCCCACCTTCCCTCGGAAATCCGGCATGGAGGGGTAGCACAAGACCGAGCCCAACTCAGTTCCTTTCCTTAGCCAACCACGGCAGAACCAAAGTCATGATGAAACCGCAGTATAATGGGAAGTCCTGGGAGCTCTAAAGAGGTATGTGGCCTTCTCGGTTTGCGCGTTCAATACTGTCATACACTGCGCCACGATTCTTCCTGGTGTAGAGCAACCACGCTTGGTCCGCTCGCACCAGCCAAGCCAGGCAGGCACGTAGGTGGGCATGATACAGCTCGGAATCTTCCGAGTTATTATCGCAGCATGTGTCACACTCGAGCTCAAGGATTCAAGATCAACCCATCTTCGCAACCAATACCTGAGCTTTGCGTAACACCTCTCGATCCGTCTCAAAGTACAATAACCTCTCAGCCTCTTCATGGGAGTACAAGCCCGTCTGAACCCCTTCTTCACCAGGCCCTTTCGTCTCACAAGCACCTTCGTCCATGATCGCGACGTACCACCATATAACCTTGACACCCTGACCATCTCTCAACGTCCGCATGGTGACCATGAAAGGTTCTACCGAGTCGCGTGAAACGCGTACCACGTCTGGGGCGTCCGCCGCGTCGCCAGCGATAGTGGCTCTGGTTTCCATATCCACTGGCAAGATATGACACTTGTATCCAGTTTCCTCGTATACTTCGCGTAGTGCAGCTTCTTGACGCGATTCTCCGATGTTTCGACGGCCTTTGGGTAGGGTCCATAGATCGGATACCGTGAGATGGATTAGGCAGATCTTCTGGCGAGTTTTGTCGAAGAGGATGGCGCCGCAGCTTTCGACGAAGTTTTCTGAGGTATATTGCTGGGTTGGGAAGGTTGATTGTGTCATGATTTGGGTGAGGGAAGGGCCATGGGGATGTTGTTTGACGAAAAGAAAGTCGACTCTACGTCAATTGTAGAACTGGTGCCTTGGCTGTGGCTGAATGATGATTGCTTCTGACCAATGAGACTACACTCTGAGTAGTAACCCGAACACCTTCACCTCTTTCGACCTGTATCTCCTGTCGCGTACTTGTATTCTTAGCCGTTAAGACCCAGAGCCCCAAAGACCGCAGATACCTTCAGGGTACAGTTTAGCATGATTACAAAATAAGCCTGTCAGCTTCAAATGCGCCCCACACATAGAACACCACACAGAGTCAGACGGCCGTTAGCTCTTCACCCGAGTGTGACTCTTCAAGATAATAGACCAAATCACGCTAGCCTGTTACAAACAACTTATCCCTATCTGAGGTAGCATGAGATTGTCATAGGGCGTAACACTATATGAAGAAGAAGAAGACGCGCAACATCTGACATCTAATAACATCAAATAACACCCAATAACACAACTCCTACACGCCATGCTATCCATAGAAAAGATCACCATCCTCCCAATCCACTGGGACCACCCAGACAGCATCCACCTCCGCTCCAAACAACAACTCGAGATAGACGACCCAGACTACACAACTCCGCCCTCAGCCGCCGACGTCCCCCTCTTCCTCATCGCGTATCATGAAGGCATCCCAATAGGCTGCGGCGGTCTTCGCCCTCTATCTCCTTCCTCAGAAAACGCACGAGAAAGTTCTGCTGAGATAAAGCGGATGTTTGTCGACTCGCCGTACCGAGTGGGATTAGAAGGAGAAGCCGGACTACGCACATCCGTTGCGACGATGATACTCGAGAAGCTGGAAGAGGAAGCGCGGAGTAGGGGTTGGCCGTGGTTACTGCTGGAGACGGGTGAGGAAATGCCGAAGGCGAGGCGGTTTTATGAGAGGTGTGGGTTTAGTCAGCGGGGGATGTTTGGGGGGTATGTTGAGGCTGAGGGGAGTGTCTGTTATGAGAAGTGGGTTGGAGGTCCTGCTTCGTAGGTGTGGAACAGCAAGGATGGCGAGTAAAGGAAGGAATGGCCCGAGTTCTGCGAATACTAGAGGTGTTCTCCACGCACGAACAGTGGCTGATGAGTCCGCTCCAGTGTATATACAACATTGCACACCTTGGGCCTATGAGTCACGGCATCAGCTCTGTCCTCATTCCGTACTTGCCAGTCCGCCTCATCGACCTCGCGCTTATCCACTACACGCCACAAGTCACCGGGGTGTGGAAACGCTGCTCCTTGGGGTATTACGTCCTTTGCAGCTGGATCTAAGAAATAGAATCGATCCTTGGAATAAGACAAAGCAATCCATCGTGCCCCCGGTTTCGTCACTAGCGCTAAATTCACAGCCATGACTACTAAGGGATGGATCAGCTCCGGGGTTTTGGCGGCATCCAGGTCTAGAGGTTCGTAGGAGCGGATGGCTAGTGGGTATGGTAGAGGGACTAGGACGTCGTCTGCGCAGGCGATGGAGTCGCATGTTGACTTGTCTACTACAACGGAGTAGGCTGCGCGCTTGCATGCGCGCATGACGGACTGGTAGTCAAGCAAGTCTGCGGCGTCCCAGCGCATGCATGCAGCTTCTCCTATGTCCTTTCGCGGATCCTGGTATATCTCCTGTTCCCGGATCTTGCCGACTTCAATGGCGACTTCAGAGTAGTCCAGGTTGTGTATCTGTCGCGGTGCGTCTACATGGGAGCGCAAGTGGTAGGAAAGCAGTGATGTGCCGCAGCCTATGTGTAGAAGTTCCGGCTTGGGCGTGGGTGTCGCATCCAGGGCATCGACGATGTGCGGATCTAGAGCATTGGGGGCCTCTAGCCACTCGAAGGGGTCTGTGTTCGCAGCGAAGCGCTCATTCCAGTAGGCTTGCGAACCGAACGACGGCGGCTGTTTAGAAGGCATCGCGATCTGGAATTCATTGGGTCAATACTGGCTTCAGAACTATGGGCATGATTAGTCTTCATCTCCACTAACAGGCTCAAACGTAGATGGTATAGATTTTGGGCGCGCAATATGCACCTAGATCATAAGTATAGGCGTGATATCCGTAATTCCGTATGAGGAATTGTTGCGGTGAGTGAAGGTCTCGAGACGCGACGACGCCCAACCTTGGAAAGATTAAATGCGCCGGTCCGAGCGTCCTCCGAGCCTCGATCATTTCTCATCACTCGGACTCCCGAGGCGACGAGACGACGAGTATCACCACCCACAGCCATGGCAACCCTCCAATCAATACCACGCTTTCTCCTGCCCCGGGGCCCTCTGCTCCTGCGCCCCCAAGCCCGCGCCTTCCTGCCGCTACCCTCCCCCACGAGCGCCCGCCATGCGTCCATCACCCCCAAAGGTCTCTCAGAAGAATTCCGAAGACGGCGGGAAGCACAGCAAAGCAAAGGAGCACCCGTAATACCCCAGCCCGACAAATACCGACCGCCATCGCACAGCAAGCGCGCCCCGAACCGCAATCTCGAGAACAAGATCTATGGCGCGCCCGTATCAGAGGAAGACAAGAAGCGCATGGCGACGAAGAAATACCCCAACATGATGAGTCCCGAGGGCACCTTCTCGCATTGGTTCCTGCACAACCGGGCCATCCATCTCTGGATAACAATGGTGCGATTCCCTGTCCCATGCCACCCTATCACCCCAAAGCTAACCCCGCTCTCCCCACAGGGCATACTCGTCTCCCTCGCCATAGCAGCATGGTACATGGACTTTATCTCCAAGACCGTCTTCGCCCACTTGCTCCCCTCGCGCAAAGATTTCCTGCGACATCCCTTCGAATCCTCGTCGAGATTCATTGAGGTCTACAAGATGCACATGGAGCAGACGTCGCAGCAGTACCAGCAGCAGAGGCTGAAGAAGGCCGAGGAGGTTGAGAAGAGGAAGCAGTATCGGTTGGAGAGGATGAGGGAGGCTGAGCTGAAGGGCGAGGAGTATGTCGAGGATCCGAGGTATTATGTTGGGGAGGATGGTGTTAGGCGGAGGAGGGTTAAGAGGTGGTTTGGTATTTGGGAGTGAGGGTGTGGATGAAGCTTCCTGATAAGGGGAGGATCTCAGAGGCATATCTGTGGTGTGAAGTAGGCCGCGCAATGGCATACGGCAGTGTAGGATTGCGTGATGAACGGCATCGAGTCGCGCAACGCTGGTGGGGAAGAGGTCGGCGAGATGACGTTTGAACCTCAGCTTCATTGAAGAGCTGTGGGTAATTGGTATTACGAGGCATGTACATGAAGGTGTGTATACTAGATGGGTGAATCCCGTTCTTCAAGAATCGACAGTTCAAGGAATTCTCCTTTCATTTCAACATTGCAACATTTCAAAAGTCTCGACTCTCTACGACTGCATATCACCCTCTTCCTCCTTACTCCTCCCAAACCAGACCTCATCCTCCGGCCCCATCCCCCTCTCCACCCCCTCCACCCCACACAACCCCTCAATTTCTGCTGGTACCTCCCAGTCCCTCATCCCCTCCACCCTCGTCGCAAACACCATCCCCAACCCCGCCTCAGCATGCCATCCCACGTGACAGTGAAAAACCCACAAGCCCGGATTATCAGCCACAAAGCTTATCAACAACCACCCATACGCCTCCACACTCGCCGTATCCCTCCTTAACGGATTCGTTACATTCATGTGGTCGTCAAAGTGACTAGGGGAGAGCAGAGTAGAAGGCGGATACCCGTGTCCCTGGGCCAAGACAAAGAATTTGTAGCCGTGCAGGTGAAAGGGGTGTGTTCCGTCGTCAAGATTCTGTATCAAGATCGTTATAGAACGTGTGGATTTGGTTTGGTAGACGAGCTGGTGAACTGAGTCGAAGGGGTGTGTGTCTAGCACACCCTCTTGCGCCTTCGTCTCGGGGGTTTGTGTTGAGAGCAAAGTGTTTAGAAGCGGTGATTTAGCATTGATGCGGAAGGAACTGTCATTCAGATACCCGCGCGAGAGCCTCCAGTCGCGGATTTGGAACGAGGAGCGCAGGTAGAGCGTGTGTTGGACGTCGATTTCTGGAGCTGTTACTGCGATGACGGGGGCTAGGGTTGAGGTGTTTAGATCCCGGCATTCTACGTCGATGATTTCGGGCCAGTCTTTACTTGTTGGGATGAGGTTTTTCGTGTCTTCCTCGTCCGCAGAAGGGTAGTATAGTACGCCCCTGACTTCTTCTTGTAGTTCTGGCTCTTCGTATGCAAAACAGTGGGTTATCATCCTCGCACGCATCCAGTACGTGCCTTGGTTTTCCTCCTCTTTTGGTGGCGTCACGATGATACTGTATCGTTGCGCAGGATTGATGTTCAGCCGATGGATAGACTGGGGGTGCACATCCGTGCCATCGACTTCTGTGACCTGGAACTCGTGTTCGTCGATCTGTAAAGCAAATTCTGCGAATGCTCCGACGTTGATGATGCGGAGTCGTGTGTTGCTGGTACGAGATAGGTTGATCAAGGCGTTACTGGTGCCAGAGGAAGAGCAGTTGCGATTCGGCAAGTCGGCGCAGTCTCGCATGTTTCTTCCATTGATCAAGGCGGATGGCGGAACGGGTTCGTCGTTTTCGCTGCCAGGGGCGAGGTACTGCATGAGTAGGTCGGAAGAGAGGTCGTAGTAGTAGTCTGACACCATGACTACGCGGTCTTGCTCGTACGGTATCTTTTGCAATTTATCTTTTTCTTCTCCGCCTCTGGCATGAATGACAAGAGGTCCCACCAAACCATCTGACGCCTGCATGCTGACATGAGAATGGTACCAGTACGTTCCCGTCTGCCCTGATACATTGAATCGGTATGTAAACGAGTGACCCGGGGCAATAGGGCATTGAGTCACACCCACCGTTCCGTCCATCCAATTCGTGCCATTTTGATATAGACCGTGCCAATGGAAAGAAGTAGCATTGATAGCTTGGTTCTGAACATTAATAACAAGCTCGTCGCCTTCGTTACACTCGATAAGCGGTCCAGGAAAGGTGCCGTTGATGAGTATCATGGGTCGATACACGCCATCAGGGTTGAGAATGTGATCGGATACTACCCATGTATACTCTCGGGTCGTAGGTGGTGCGTTGAAATCCCATGATGAAGAGAGTATGTAGTCTTCTTCCGGTCGAAGTCTTGCAGGATGAGCATCAAGGGAGGGGGATGTATCGTTCCGGGTACTTGTCATACCACGATACACCAGGGCTATGACTGTGCATATCAGAAGCGAAACAACGGTGACGGGCCTGATCCATGGCCACCGATGAATGTGATGGTGTGAAACGTCGTGCTTGTCGCTCCAGCGCGGTTCCAAGTCGTTTTCTTGGTCTTCGCTGCCTCGAGATTGGGAATCGTCTGTGGGTGCATGCAGCAAGCCAATTTGCTCTTCAGGCTTGTGCATGTTCGATTTAGACATCTCTTTCATGCCGAAGCTTTGGTTGCGGCCCATCGCGGCTAGCTTCCAAGACCACTCATTAAGTCTCTACCTGTATTACCAAAGCGTGGTTCAGGGTATATGTAGCAGTAGTTGTCGTTTGGTGTTTGGCGGTTTCTGTGTCAAGCACCCCGTCGTCCCTGCGTCGGATCTGATCGTTGTAACGTGCCATCTCGTTCAAGGAGCCTCTGAACACGACCGCCACCACCAGCCAGCCGCTGCACGGGTCCAGAAGATCATCACGCTACGCCACCCCACCTGCAGTGTCACTGGTGTCAGGTGTGGCCATACCTTGGATCTGCGGGTCGTACCAGGTTTGCCGAGTTCGTGTCCAATCAGCCCCGCACGTTCATCTCTCAAAGCTATCTAAAGCTTGTCGACCTTCCTAAAAAGCTTATCCTCCCGCATCGATGTGCGAAGTTCTCTCCCTAAGAATGCGCACATGTGCGCTGCGACGAATGCCATTGGTGGGGATGTGACGGCTATACTACAGGTCGTCCCAGTGATGTCCAGACCCTTAGGCACTACCTAGCGGAAGCGGCGCCTCATGACCCTGGCAGATGGGATGAAAAGCCCTGAGGGGAAATATCATGTGTGCCTGCTTCTGTCGTTCCATCCGGCGTTTCTCTGTTGTCTTGACGTTCCTTGGTAAGAAGAATTGCTGGTAGAAGGAGCCGAAAGGGCATGCTAACCAAACAACAGATTTGTATAGCCATCATGATTACTCCACTCGTTTCGTCTCTAGCACTTCTAGCGATCCTGAACCCCGTACAAGCCCAAAGCACGTTCCCAGGCAAAGCCTTCGACCGCATAGCCATAATATGGCTTGAAAATACCGATTACGACCTCGCAGCAGGAGACCCAAATCTTGCATGGCTCGCAAAGAAAGGCATCAGCCTCACGAATTACTTCGCAGTAACCCATCCTTCTATGCCCAACTATGCAGCTGCAATTTCAGGCGACTACTACGGCATCAACCACGATGACATGGTCGCTATTCCCTCCAACGTATCCACCTTGGTAGATCTCCTCGAAGACAAAGGTGTTAGCTGGGGCGAGTACCAAGAAGACATGCCCTCAGTAGGTTTCCAAGGGAAATCGTACACGAACCCCAAAACTGGAGCGAACATGTATGTTCGCAAACACAACCCAGCTGTGCTGTACGATTCCGTAGCGCAAAAGACGGAGAGGCTGGCAAAGACAAAACCCTTGACCATGTTCAAAGAAGATATGGACAAGAACCAGTTGCCGCAGTGGATGTTTATCACCCCTAATATGACGAGCGACGGTGCGTACTCAACCCAAGACATCCTGTGCATTCCCGTAGAAATATATTAACGTCGCCAGGCCACGACTCCACCGTAACAGTAGCAGGAACCTGGACGCGCAACTTCCTCGAACCCCTCCTCACCAACAAGAACTTCATGAACAACACCCTCGTCATGGTAACCTTCGACGAGAACCACTCCTACGGGCAGCAAAACCGCGTCGTGGCCATACTGCTAGGCGATGCCGTGCCCGCCGGCTTGGTCGGCACCACAGACAACACGTACTACAACCACTACAGCGAGATCGCCACTGTACAAGCAAACTGGGGCTTACGTACGCTGGGCCGCTGGGACGTGGGCGCCAACGTATTCAAGTTTGTAGCGGAAAAGACGGGCGATACGGTGCGAGCTTGGTCGGGCAAAGTTCCGTTAAGTAACATGTATTTCAATGCGTCGTATGCGGGCAAGTTGAGCAACAAGAATAAGTCGGTCCCTTGGCCTGTGCCCAACACGGACGCGGTGTATGCGGGGAGGGCTGTGCTGCCGGCTATTGCGGATACGTGGGGGAAGCAGGTTGGGCAGTCTGCGTATACGACTGCGTTGGAGATTCCGGATGGCATGCATCCGGAGGCTGAGTTCAAGTAGACGCGCTCATGACTAGAAATTTGAAGATGATCGCTTACATAGAGCAAGAAGTACCAATGAGTACTGGGCTATTAATCAACGGAACAAGTGACTCGATGAATCCAGAATCACTCGTACCATCCATTAATAGCTCAGTACTCATTGATATCGACTGATCCGATATAAATTATCCCTAGACTAGGCCAGACCCGCTGCATACATCGCTGTCAACTAGACTGCCCATTGTCTGCGCGACGCTTTCTTTGCCTCCTCCATACCCTTGGCATCGCGTCGTAACACAGCGCCCACTACCTGTATCCTGCCCACATCTGCGTAAGCGCCCTTCCCAATTTCCTCTGGCCATATATCGGGGTGTAGGATCGTGTACTCAGCGAGCTCCGCGCCTTCTACTTGTTGCAGCTTCTCCAAGAAGATGTCATGGCCAGGATTAGCCGTGGGCATCGCGACACCTGTGTAAACGACGATAACACCAGTTGAGGACAAGATTTTCATGCCTTCTTCCACAATGCGTATGGAGAGGTCGAGACCGAAGCCAGCGCCACCATCTGCGTATATGGGCAGGTCCTTGCCGTCGGTACTGGATGCGATGTATGGTGGATTGCTGACAACTAGATCCACACCATGGTGCTTCAGATCTTCAGGCACGGTCGCGAAAAGGTTTGACTCAGCAAAGCCGACCTTGACGCCCGCCAGCTGTGCATTGACCTCGGCCAGACTCAGTGCACGCGGATTCAGGTCCAGCCCCAGCGTCTTTGCCTGCGGGTATGTCCTCGCCATGTGTATCGCGCCTGCGCCGGCTCCGCAGCAGACGTCTACGATACTGCTGGGCGCATGTGGAAGGTGTTGGGATATGGTTTGGAGGAAGCCGACAAAGAAGTATGTGTCGGGGCCGCAGAAGACGGAATCGGACGATGCTGGGAAGGAGGAATGAATGTAGTACAGCGAGGAGATATCAGAATCGCGACTCGGGAGGCTGGGAAGGTACAGGTTGGATACGCGGATGGTGGAGCGGTAGCTTTTGTCGTCATTCTGTGTGATTACGTCGGCTTTGTGGAGGCTTTCGAATATGTCGTCGGGTATTATCGATCGGAGTGCTTCTCTGTCAGTTGTTAGAACTGCCAGATGTGCGGTACCTCCCAGGTAGACGACTAGCAGTGGAATATACAACTTACCTGGTACATGGCAAGTTCCACCCAAAGAAGTCGTACGCGTTCTGGGCATCTTCCGTCGCGACATTCGAGCGTCTTTTCTCCACTACCCTGCCCTGTGTCTCTGGCGATGGACATACAAAGACGTACTTCTGCTTGGCTAGATGTTTAGTCAGGGCCTGGTAGGCGATGGTAGTTTCCGACATGGTTGGAGGAGTGCTACACGTTTGTCTCCGCGGGCAACTTCATGGCGTAACGCCTCTGTGACACAGCCAACACGTCCAAGTGTCAGTGCACATGGTACCAAGAGTTACCTGCGCCGCGGAGCAGAAGCAGGTGTCAGTGTGACGTTGTTGTTAGTAATGAAGGCTGCGTGAAAGCCTTCGTGCATGTCGTGATCTGGCCTGATCTACCCGAATAAGAGCTGTTCTAGACGCGCAGTGCAGATTGCATGCAAAGAACCATCGCTTTTTCTTGTCGCTTGTCGCATCGCTTGCAGTTAATGGACAGATTGATGTCGCGAAGACGTTAGCTCCCACGCGGAAGGGTCGCGCGGTTTGTGGGGTGCGCTTGGCCTAGCTGCAAGTAGTCTAGTGCCAGATGTCGTCACGGATCCATTTCCCTGGCGATAACATTAACATTGTTGGAATTTGAATATTTAGGTAGCTAGTTCCTAGCCCCCTTAGTAGCTAGCATATAGAGGCAGCTTTACTACCTACTTTTAGTATTTAATTAATTTTTATCTTATTTTATTTTAATAAGTTATAAGCTTAGATTTTACGTAGTAAAATAAAGATACTTATTTTTCTCTCTCTCTCTTTTTAAACTTTCTTACTAAATATATAAGTATTCTCTTTAATAGAGCTTATAACTTTTTATAATATAGTAATTTAGATACTTTTTTTAAGTATAAAGCTCTTAAGAACTAAAAAGAACTAAAGCTTATTCTAAATAAGCTTTTATCTAATATTAATTAAAAAGTATTTTTAAAAGAAATAGAAAAGCTTTTTAAATAGTAAGTTTAAGCTAAGTTATAAAGATAAAGTTTTCTACTTTCTAAAACTAATTATTAGCTATTAACTTATAGCTTTTAGTATTTTTTATATAAGCTTATTATACTTAAAAAAGTAAAAGTAAAAGTTACTAAAATTTATATAGCTACTATAGTAGCCTTTATTTATTAGATATTACTTTTTATATTATACGCTCTAGTTAGAACTTAAACTAAAAAAGCTTTAAGAAGTTATTTATAAGTAGTAAT